GGATGTCTCAACACTGACACTCGTCTTTTATCGCGGCACCCTGCCCTGTGGCCTCTCGGGACAGATGGCCATTGAGGTCACAGTCGCATCCAATCTGTCTGAGATCTTAACCACAGGACTCTCACATTACACAGACACAAAGGATGTCGGAGCATGGGCCTTCATCTGTTTTATGACTTTACTGTGGTGTTTGCACAACTTTTGTCAATCCGGTGCCTCCTTTATGTCGTCTACTACTCTGCTGAGTCTACCTTTCGACCTGGCTTGAATCGGTCCCAAACAACAACTCTGTGCCTTCTCTCCGTCTCGCTCTCTTTCTCTGTTCATCGTCACCCCTCTCCCAGACACAGCAGCAAACAACACCACTGCAGTAGTAACAGCCTGATGAGTCCAAAAAGGACAACATCACCAGGAAACGGTAAATACGTCATCCTAGTGTCACAAAGCTGGACTCTCTCCAGGCCTCGTCTTGTGCATTCATGTCCAGTGTTGTCCAGAGCTTTGTCCTCCTGTTATAGGGACACCCAAAGCCAGCTGGTCTCTCCAAATACGCCCGAGAGAGCCTGGCCTCGAGCGGGGACTACTGGGCGATGTTTGTGCTGTGTGTGTGTGTGTGTGTGTGTGTGCGTGCACTTGCGGTTAGAAGCGGCTGGGCCGACCAGTTTTGTCACTCAGCCACAAGCCCGGAGTGATGCGCACACTTTGACTACCCCTATTGACATTCATTTCCAGTTCCAACATGACTGCAATGTTTGTCTGTCACCTGGCCACTTAATTTATTACCTTTTTTATATCACAGATAAAAAGGTCTTTCCCTCATTGTCAGGACGTCTTTGGACAGAAGGCTTGAACTATCCTTCTTTTGGTCTTTTATACAGAAGATCAAGGGATGGACCACGCTGGATGTTGCCGCTTTTTTTTTTTTTTGCCTTTGTCCTTTGTCGCCACCGCCCCTGTGTAAGAGTTCAAAATGGAGCTCTGCTAAATCAGAGGGTGTGTGTCAGGCGGCAGGCAGGCACACTGACTGACTAGGAGCGGCTGACAGCCAGGCTGACTAGCCTTCTTAGACAAACAGTGTCGCACGCACTCGCCGAGGAGACACTCGCACACGCGATCCCTCAACCTGTCTACTCGTGTTGTCTCTGCATCCGGATCATCTTTCCACTTACACTCGCATGCATACTTATCTGAGCCTCTGGCCTCCAACAAGTCAAATAGGCCTCGACCGATTCTGATTCAGTCAAATTGTTGGCGGTGAACATGCACACGAAACACTTGTACAGCTAACAGGTGCCATTCTTGTTAGACACATCGCACAATTACTTCTAAGATTCTTTGCCTCGTCACTTCGTCTTCCCCTTGCTCCCTCTGCTCACCCCTTTGCTCTCTCTCAAATTTGGTCGTGTAGCTGGCAAGGTTATGACTGGAATCTGGTGAACAGCCCCGCAGGGCCTCATGGCAGCTATGTAGCTGCCAAAGTGTTCATTAGGCGGAGGACCTTGTGAGGAGCCCGAGGCTAAAGTAATGGAACGGTAAACAGAAATGTAGTGCAGCGCCCGTGCGAACAGGTAAACATGCAACTTATTTACCTTCAGCGTAGAAACTTCTAGTCTTGGAAATGACGCATACAAACTCACAGCTCATTGGCACAGAAGGGTTATATTAAGGCCCGACAGAAAATAAACTTCCACATTTAGCCAAGTCTAAGGCAATAAAACATGGAAGATGATTACTATGCCAGGTTAGAGGAAGGAGGCAAGTGATTTATTGATAAACTGATTGACATTTGCGAGTGCTTTATTGGCTATTGTTCACTATTACTCATAACCAGTTTGGTAGTCCATTGTTTAATGGTTGAAAGTAGCTCTGGGCGATATGGAGAGAAGTGAACTTGGCATAAGTGTAACTTTCCGCATTAACTTTTTTTCCGCAGCCTCTATTTTAAAGGCAGGCATTGTGCAGCGCTACCTGTTTTTCAGGCCCCCTAACTTCACACCCCGACCTTTTCTAAGAGTTACCGTTTGTGATTTTTCTTGTCATTCTGGCCTGGAGGCTTTTTTTCCATCTAATAAAAATGCGCCACACATACAAGGTAAATGTGAAATGAAGATCGCTGCTGCTGATTAGGATGCCACAAATGCATTCATTGTGAAACGGTTGCCTGTGTTGGTACAGCGCCAGCGCTGGCTGGCAAACCAGCAGTCAGGCAGCACAGATCCCCGGCCCCCAACCCCGACATGACTCTCCTGCATGGCCTCGGGTTGCCCTGCCTTTACCTCCTGTACCAAGACTTTGCTACCACAGTGTGATTGTCTTCTAGGTATTCAAAGTGGCTACTTAGACACACATCTGATTTGAATAATGTGGTCATATCTTTTCCATAGCTGGAGAACTTTTATATACTTCCTATAAGATTGAATTAAATTCTCATTTTCCACTGTGAGCTTAAGGAAGTCTGATATCCAAGGCCAAAATCAGTCTTTCATCCGTATAGTTTGATTGTGACATTGACATGCGTACGCCTCTGACTGAACGAGTGAGCCCTACTATCACAGCGAGTGTGAAGACATCAGTCAGCAACAGTCTATTAAGACAACGTTGACCCTCAACTCCACAATTGCCTGCAGCAGGTGCTCACTGCCAGGAGATTCCTCATACCCAGCACAGACGAGGTGAGAGGGAGAAGGAGGGAGAGGAGGGTAGTGACAGAGGTGGAGGAATAAATAAGTCAGCCCTCTTCCCCTCAGGCTTAAATCTACCGAATGCACACTGAGGAATTAATTGTGCAGTTCTTAGAAGACCATCAAAATGACAATGGACTCCTTCTAATTCCCACACCTTAGAGACAGAGTATGACAGAGTAATCCATCACACAGAACAGGTTTGGATTTATCTGTTCGTCACATTGTCACTGTGCGGGGATGCAGGTTGAGTTCAGTTTGATTTGAATCACCTCGTCGTAACAACAGTTAAGACTTTTCAGAAAACGATGCAGACTTTGTGTTTACGACTAAGTTTCAACAGTCTGTAAATAGATTTCCATACTGTATGGAAAGTCAATGGAAACCTATGAATGCCTTGGATGATAGAAAGAAACATTCAAATAAAAAAACAACACAGCAGCATGGTTAGCTAAATAATTAACTGAGATGTGAAGTACATGTGATCTCTAGTAAACGGGATAAACATGCAAACCACTGGTCCTTTAAAGGGCCCTTCACCCTGACGCCTGCTTAAGCCCGTTCATTGAGTTTAGCAAAAGAAGGTCTCTTGGTGGTCTTGTGAGAGGGAGATTTAAGCCTTCAGTGTACAGGATTTGTGTCTGTATGTCTGTGCCCTATGGGTGAGTCAGTCACACTGTCATAAATAGAGAACCTGAGATGACCTGTCAGACTGCCACACAGAGAGAGAGAGAGAGAGAGAGAGAGAGGGGGCAATGAATGATGCTTTGTTATTGTAACAGTGAATGGCAATTTGTCTATATAAAGAGCAGTTTGTTAGCTTTCACATCCGTTCATACGCGTCATTAGCGGAATACAGTGGATTCCTGAGCTGACCTGTAACACGCAGAACAATGCGTACCTGTGTGTGTTCACTGATCTGCTTGTGTGTGTGTGTGTGTGTGTGTGTGTTCTGATGTCAATGAGTCTGTGTGTGTTTGAGTATCTGCATTGCACCCTTGTTTGCTCTTCCATCTTTGTTTTTAGGAAAAAAAATATCGACTATATTAACCAACAATTACACATGCTCGCCGTGGTGTCGACTGAGTGGGAGAAGTTGTGTTTATGCTGTAACTCAACTTCATGTCTGGATGTTTTAACACACGCAGCTACAAGTCGCATTAATGGGAAACACAGACCGCTAACAGCGCTTCGCAGCCTCGTATCGTGCACGCACTCGTATATTACTGCATGCTCAAACATACATGCATTAGGTGTGGCAGCGAAATGCAGGTAAACCACGCGCAGGAATGGCTTCAATTCATCGGTACCGGCTCTGATGTTGAAACTTAAAGGATCAAGGCAGAAACTGTTTATTTTAGCATTGAAGAATTGGATGTACAGCAAATAATCTACAGCACTATAAGCAAATTCCTGAACCTCAACCTCGGGATAAGAACTGCGCACCTCCACTGCTCTCTTCTCTGGTTTCCCCTGAGGACGACGGGGCAGCTCAGAGAGGCGTGCAGGAGCTGTAAGGCAATTAGCGAGAGTAGCGGTGTGCGTCCAGAGGGCCGAGGCTACGGTCTTGTCCTGCGCTATGTGTGTGTGTGTGTCTTTACAAGCGCACACACACACACTTCCTGTCACAGCTCATTGACAACTAGCACAACACAGGAATGAGGCAGGATTGAGGGTGAGGGGGTTTGAAGTATAGAAAAGAAAATCAGAGCGACAGTTTTCACCGCAAAACGCGATAACAGGCGATAACCCCGGCACATATAGGACGGTTATTAGTTTAGTTTTTTTATTGTTCTAACAACGTTCTGGGAATGTGAAACAGGCAAAGTTTAAGAATACCATTTCTAACAGAAACACTTAGTGGGACCTCATACTGAGTGAGAGAACTCCAAACTTCTCTTTTTCCTTTCCCCTCAGTCTGCAACCCTACACAGCCTCCCTGTATCTATTAAATGCCGTGTGTGTGTGTGTGTGTGTGTGTGTGTGTGTGTGTGTGTGTGAGTGTGAGTGAAGAGAGCTGCTCTTGTTCTCCTGCCAGTCTTGTTCAGAAGGCTCAGAGTTGTGTGAAAGGACCCTGTTGAGGAAGCGGGGTGTTACAGTTAACACAATAAGGACCGCCTACAGCGTGTGATTTGGGTTTATATGCAAATATTCAAAGGAGTGTATTATTATGAGGTTTGTCTTTGCTTCCGTTTGTCTTTGTTTGTTTGTTTTATATTACAATGAACAACTGCTCCCTCAAGTTAACAGGAGGTTAGTATTCCGGTACCCGGCTAAAGCTCATTCATAATGTCAGATTTAAGTAATGGCTTCACTCACCCAGTGAAGAAGCTTCCTCCTCTACTCTCGCTCCACTTTTCTCGGTTTCGGCTCTTCCTTCCTTGGAAACAACGCAACATTTGTACCTGTTAGCCATACAGTGGGTACCCCACCCCCCCCCGTCACGCATTGTTCGCAAGCAAAACAGGACGTTTTTTGCCTGTTAATTGGTTGGATTCCAGCTGTGTGCGGGAGCGTGCTGAGTGCTGGCTGGCCGTGTGGCAGCACAAGAGAATGACAGAGCGGGAAGAGGAAGAATGCAGGCCGACCACTCTCCACTCTGTCAGCTCCTTGTGCTGTGATATCAGCGCATCAGCCACGGCCCGAGAGTGTGTGTGTGTGTGTGTGTGTGTGCGTGTGTGTGTGTGGCACAGATAACATTTTTACTTCTCTGATTTCCTTTGCCTGTGCTTAACCTCAACTGTTTTGATTAAGTGTGTGTGTTTGTGTGCGTTTAAGACAAAGACAGGCCCTCAGTTCTCCAATAAAAGCCAACACCAGCTTTAATTGTATGTGATGTCAGCGGGCAAGGCCCAAATTGACCACACTGTCTGTGTGTTTTTAATTGATTAGCGCCTCATTAACTGTGACCGGAGTGGTTTGTGCGTGCGCCCGTTTGTTTGTTGCTTTGAATGAATACAGTATTAACTAGTATTGAACGTTATTTTTGAGCGCGGTTATTGGATCACGCTTGCGTATCGGTTTTTGGGAAACTCAAAGTGACCACTTGATAGCTGTTTTATTAGCGGGAGACGTTTCGCCAAGAGCAGCTCCCCACACTTCTTTTACAATGTTCATAAAGTTGATTGAAGGCACTGTCATTAAACAGTTTCTGAGATAATTACGCACATATAGCATCTCTATTCATACTAGCGACGCTAGACTCACTCTTCCAGTTCCACTAAGTAGTGTTTTCAAGTCATACTTGATATACCTAAGCTCTGAGTCAAACAAAAGAAAAAACAGCGTGACGAACAAACCACATGTTCTACATGATTGTGTAACACCTGAAACATCACCTCACGCTACATATACCATCTCTGAGTCACCGTGCAGCTTGCGGTGCTTACGTCTGAGAATAATGTGCCGCGGCTCGGTGTGGCCCGCTGACCTACTGCGAGGCCTTTGCTGCTCTCTGCATCCGTGTGTTTATTTGTCTGTGGGAGTTTCGCTTTGCTGCAAAGAGGCTTCTGTGCATGCTTTGTTTTGTGTGTGTGTGTGTGTGTGTGTGTGCCCAGTTTTGGATTGTTCGCATACGTTTCACTGGTAAACACAAACGATGCACGCTTGTCAGGGGTTACTGCCGATCTTCTGTGAGTAACTACTGTTTTGAGGACTCTGGTGCGCTGAACCCTCTCGTGCGCGGTCAGTCTCCCGAGGGTCACTGTGTCTCCCTCTCAGACAATCCCTTGACTGCACTGTAAATATTTAGCTCACAGAGTGGAACTCGCCACTCAAAATAGATTCAAATCATCTTCGCCACTAAGCTTCGTGAGTGACCGTAAAAGACAAAACTGCCGACAACAATATTCCCCTCTTGGTAGGCCGCCTTCTCCACATCTTTCCACGAGACACTTTAATTTGTATAGACTGCACACTTCCAAATCACTGGTAGTACCTCTTATTTTCTCACTTTTCACCATTATTTGTTTACTTGTATATGTATTCTCTTTTAAAGGAGCTGTTTTTGTCATTCCCTTACTTTTTCTCTTCACTGTAATTTTCTTTCTTCCTCTGTGTTCATCTGTTAAACATAAATATTGCCTCACCCTTCTCCTCTTCCGTTTCTCTTTTTCTCTCTGTGTCACTCCCCTTCCCCCCCCCCCCATCTAATCTGGTCTCCATGTTTGAACCACTTTGTAGTGGCATCATGTACAACTGTCAGCAATTTGTACAAATTACAGCTTCAGTCCAAACCCTAAACCTGCAGATGACTGTTGGGATAACCAGAGAAACGCTTCCTGTTCAGCTGTAGGTGTGTTGCCTTGCTTGATATTTCACGTGCTTCTCGTATGCTGAATTTGTACACCAGTGACAAGCTGTGACACGAGGCACCATTGTTGTTGATTTCAGTGTTGAGTGATTGAGATTTGGCACTGATGCACACAGTGGCATTCGGATGATCACATTTGCACATACACGTGCACAGATTTCTCTCTCGCGCGCTGCCTCTTGCTCTCTCAAGGTGCGGACAGCAGCAGATAACAACAATATTTGTGTCGCTGGCTGCGACGGAAATAGACATGAAGCAAAAGGGGACGAGAGAACTCCCAATGTCTACTGATGTAATGCGAGAAAGCGGCTCCGCGCGTACGTGCCAGCTTGTATGTACGATGTGCCTACATGAGAGTGTGTGTGTGAATGTCACCACTCTGTGATGAACGAGGTCTCAGACAGTCCGTGACCTGAGGGCGAGTGGACACACACTGACCCGCAGGTACACACCTCACATATTTACTCTGCCGTCTTATCATTCGATCCATATTCAGTAAAACATTAATGTTAATCTCGGCGGTTCAATATTTGACCTTCCTCTCAAACTGTCTTTCCCACTTCTGGTTTGGGCCAAACTGTGTGTGTGTGTGTGTGTGTGTGTGTGTGTGTGTGTGTGTGTGTGTGTGTGTGTGTGTGTGTGTGTGTGTGTGTGTGTGTGTGTGTGTGTGTGTGTGTGTGTGCGTGCGTGCGTGCGTGCGCACCCTTGCTTTGCTCTTGCCCAGCAAGATCTGGTTCAAGGCTCATTTCCTAATTACAGTGCTGGCCAGAGGTAATTACAACCTAAGATTAAGAGCTGTTTCTCTTTTTTTTTTTTT